CCCCCCCCTTATCATCCCCCATGTAATGTAGATAAGGAGACGGGAAGAGGTGTTTGTAGTGCATATCAGGTGAGCAGACTAGAGTGACAACAACGCTCCTCCATAGATACAGTACAGTGAGCGTGGTCACCCTAGGACAGGTAGTGTGTTACGGGCAGGATCACCAGGTGACAAAGGGACAAGAAGACTAATGCAGCCACCGCATTTAAGGAATGGTTTGCTACAATGTGTTACATTTCTGTTCCCGGATTTGGATACAATTTATCTTTATAAAAGATACAATTTGATTGGTCGCTCTGGGGGGAATATTCCACTGAATGAAGACATGACAAGTGTGTAAAGTGATGAACTCGATGGCGACTTCTATCCTTCAATGAATCCCATAAAAAGTCACATTTTCTGTGCTATCAATAGGCCCCGATGGGGCTTTTGCGGATGACCTCTTGTTCTTCCTCGCCTCCCCCGACATCTCTCTCCCGGTGCTCTTGGCGGAAATTGGACGTTATGGTGCACTCTCGAACTTTCTTGTGAACTCCCATAAATCTATGGCCATGCATCTCTCCCTCACAGGCCCTCGCCTTTGGTGGGTACTCGACAACTTCCCTTTTAAATGGTCTCCCACCTCCCTGAAATATCTGGGCATTCAGCTCCCCAAAAACCCCGCTTTGACCTTCTCCCTCAACTTTCCCCCTCTTCTGTCTGCCATTAGCTCTGACCTTAAACAATGGACCACAGGGACCTTTTCTTGGATGGGACGTTGTAACATCCTGAAACAATCCATCCTTCCCCGACTTTTATACCCCCTCCAAGCCCTCCCTATCAAGATACCACCTTCCTTCTTCCGATCCCTTTTCACCAGCTTTGTATGGGCGGGCAAGCCTCCTAGGCTCAAGTACAACCTTCTACGCTTACCTAAAAGCAGCGGAGGAATGGGTCTACCAGATATACACCTCTACTACATAGCTGTCCACTTGACGCGAGTTCTGGACTGGTGTCGTCATCGAACCTCAAAGCTCTGGACCGGCCTTGAGCAATCCTCCTCGCCAGTGCCACTATCAGGTCTACCCTGGTGCTCACCCCCCACCTTCCGCACCGTCCGCTCGCACCCCACCATCATGCCCACGCTAACAATAGCCCGATCTGCCTTTTCGCAGTACTCCCTGTCGCCATCACCATCTCCCTTGATCCCGGTTCTGGGAAATCCGGCCTTCCCTCCGGGGATAGATGACAAACACCTCCTTAACCCAGTAGTTGCAGGGCACTCCACTTCCTACACGGTACCTCGTGGCCCACTTCGTTTACATCACCTTCTGACCTCGGCTCTCAGCTCCTTGACCCATGGCGCACTATGCAACTACTTCACTTTTTGAAGTCCCTCCCTCCTCCAACTCAACTCTCCAGGCCATTGACCACATTCGAATCTGAATGTTCTAGAGACGGCCCAGTTCGCCATGCCCTATCCTTCTGTTATAAAATCCTGCTCTCTGGAAGCACCCCTGACGACCTGTGGTTCCTCACAAGGTGGGAGGAAGATCTGGGGATCCAGTTAGCCCCCGGGGAACGCACGAAATTGCTTACAATGTCATACCAATCCTCCATCAGCAATAAATATCAGGAGTCCGGATACAAGTTGGTCACCAGGTGGTACAGGACACCTCATACCCTACACTCTATGTACCCCCAAACTCCGGATACCTGCTGGCGGTGTCGCGCTCCTTCAGCGGACATCTTACATATATTCTGGTTGTGCCCCTCACTCAACGAATTTTGGGACCAAGTGCGCTCCATCACCCAAAAGTTCACAGACCTCCCGGTGCCACACGACCCGGCCTTCTTCCTCCTCCACCACAATGACATACCGACCAAGACTTACAAACGATCCGTCGTCCGCCACCTAGTCAACGCAGCCCGAGCGTGTGTTCCAGCCAAATGGAAGAGCCCCGAACCACCCACCGTAACCCAATGGCTCGATAGGGTGCATGACATTTACCTTATGGAAGACCTTACCAGCTCCCTCCGTGACACCTCAGATAGGTTCAGGAAAACTTGGTTCTACTGGATTGAGTTCCTACACTCTCCAGCATATGAAGCCCTAAGGCGAGGCCCCGAGACATGACCTACTGAGCGAGAACTCACTACTGGTCCCCCCCCTGCTACCCTTGCTCTACCCGCCCCCTCCCACCATTCTCCTCATACCCTCCCTAATCTTACACCGCCCTTTCTCCCTAATGCCCCCTTCCCCTCTACAATACCAGACGAACTTTATTGCAAACCTCTACCAGAGTGTCGTGACCCCGACCCTCCTGAGGGCTTTGGGTGTCCCACCCCCATGCCTGATATTGCCCCAAATCCTAGCACACTGGAGACTGACGCTGGAAGTCTCGCATCTTCAACCCTGTGCCACGGGCTGGATCTGGATCCCGACACGTGCTTCTCTCTTTGTTTAACTGTATGTTTTACCTGTATTGTTCTCACCCCCCGTCCAGAACTGAGGTTTATTTAGAGCTACTGATGCTAAGTATGTACTGCATATCTGGACGTCCCTTTGGGAAACTGTTTCTTTTTGTATACGAAAAATTTAAATAAATAAAGAATTTATTAAAAAAAATAGGCCCCGATGGGTATAAAATACTAGCGGAAAGGAAACGCCATCCACAGAAAAACTGCAGCTGACATCCGATTGGCTGGTTACTGCAACATGGTGACCCTCCATCTTGCTTGCGGCCGCCATATTGCCCCACAATACAACAGCAAAACGTTTTCCCCGGCACGCTCACCAGCCGGCATGCAAAGAAAAACTTGTCTCACCGCTAAGGATAAAAGCAGAGGTTTAGATACACGTCTTCTGCAGAAAATGTGAAAGCCGCACAGCCGCGCCAAGGCACCTCCATATAGTGCGGTCCTAACTCTAAACTATGAGAGTCTCCATCTTGGAGCACATGGGGCAAAAGATAAAAATTGGGGGCATTTTCTGCAGAAGACGTGTATCCAAACCTCTGTTATTATCCTTAGCGGTGAGACAAGTTTTTTTTTTTGCACGCCGGCTGGTGAGTGTGCCGGGAAAACTTTTTGCTGTTTTACTGTATAAAGCCCATTCCATGTGCACCGCGCTGTAAACCTGGTGACCCTCCATTCTCCTCGCGGCCGCCATATTGCCCCACAGGCCGCACTTCATAATTTCTACACGTGATCTTTCCTAAGTGAAGGCCGTCGTGTCCAAGGCTGTCCACAGTCACCTACCTGAGGGCCGAGCGCGGCGGCCGCCTGTCTGCCCTTCTCGTCCCGCTGAGGAAACAGAGATTTAAGGAGTTTCGGCATCTGAGGCACTAAGGACTTCACGGGGTTCAGGTAGGTAGACGTCATGCTGTCCGGACCTGCCAAACGTAAACCATGAAAATGTCATAACCATGGGGGAGGGGGAACGTTCCTTGGCTTATTCACATTCATGAAGCCTATGGCGGGTTCACTGTAAAGAGGACCTGTCATCGGCTTACATTTCACAATGCTCACGTAAGGAGTTAGCAGTTACAGATGCCGGGGGGTGTAACAATTTGTTATGCCTTCCTAAGGGGGTGATTTAGAAAAGGTTTGCTCAGCGTATAGTGAAAGCTGTTTGCATGGCAGTACGGCCACTATATGGCGCTGGAAATTTCTATGGTCCACCTAGCGGCTGTAAAGCCATGCGAATGGTGTCCACCCGGCAATAGGCCAAGCGAACCCTACGTAAACAGACCCCCAAGTGTGTGGCACAGTAAAACCTTCTTAGAAGAGAAGGTATCCCCACGTCTCATTCCATCACATATCCCAAAAATAACCCCCTCATTTCAGGACAATGGGTGGAGCCATGCACATCACCCCTTTACGACATCAGCCAACTGCACATCCAGAATGGCTCCATGTGACCATCGTTACCGGGCAGGAAGTGATGGGAAATCCCAAAATTTTACCAAGCCACTGGAATAAAGATAAAGGGGAACTCGTCCAATGGGGATGACCCAGTGAGAGTTATTCTCTCACAAGGAAGAGGGAAATCTCACGGACAGGGAAATTTGGGGTTCCAATTACTCCCTACTCCAAAAGAAACAGGGGAGAAGGGCTTTTGGCTTTAGAAATGGGCAATGGACTGAAATAGAACATGGCGCACTATGGAAGTTGCTGCCTTTGACTTGCCTTGATCCTGTGACTGGTTGTTTTCAGAGGGAACATTCTGGGAGCGCCGGGGTGATGTGCCCCTGTGGCCGGATTGGGGCGAGGATTGGGATACGTCCTGCTGGCTCTCCCATCGGCCCTGTAAGACAATAAAGAGAAATGTTTCAGTTCCGTCCATGAGCCGACGCGGCAAGATGTCTGATATGAGCCAGAAAAGCCTCTTCTGTACCCCTTACTGATATGGACTTTGTGGCCAAGACCTGCCAATTGACATTACATTTTCCAGGAAGGTCAATCTCAACGGCCAGTAAGATCAATCTCAACGGCCAGGAAGGTCAATCTCAACGGACAGGAAGGTCAATCTCAACAGACAGGAAGGTCAATCTCAACAGACAGGAAGGTCAATCTCAACAGACAGGAAGGTCAATCTCAACAGACAGGAAGGTCAATCTCAATGGCCAGGAAGGTCAATCTCAACGGACAGGAAGGTCAATCTCAACGGACAGGAAGGTCAATCTCAACGGACAGGAAGGTCAATCTCAACGGCCAGGAAGGTCAATCTCAACGGCCAGGAAGGTCAATCTCAACAGACAGGAAGGTCAATCTCAACAGACAGGAAGGTCAATCTCAATGGAGAGGAAGGTGACGTTTTGTGGACGGCGCTTGCTCCCGCTCTAGGTGTTTTGTCGCACTCAATACAAGCGAATGGGATTCATCGCCTTGAGTGTTTTGTCCCGCTTATATTTGAACGACAAAAGGCCTAGGTGTGAACGGAGCCTTAGGGCCGGTACTCCCCACATACGCCGAAACTAAGATCTACAGAACAACCGCTGCAATGACAGGATAAGCCACACAGAGAGAGTCTATTGCAATCTATTACCTGACTTACAGGACTCCTAGAACTGCATAGAGATGAGCAGAGACGCATTGTTATGTAAGGTGGCAACTACGAAACCAGGAGTCAGAGAACACAATTGTGAAAAGAACTGCCGGCTGCTAGTAACGTGGCGCTCATAATTCAGGCTGCCGGAGAAAACAGGGCTCATAGTTTCCAATCCGATGCCAACTAATAAGGGTTAGGGCTTAAAGCAGATCAAACTAATACACACATTGCCCAGCAAAGCATTGCTGTACTTTTCTTGCCCAAATACTTACAATCATCTTATTGAAGTACAAAAGCGACATCAGGGGTCTAATAGACCCCCAACATGTCTCCTTAGAGAGAGAGCCTGTCACCATTTAAAATGCTGTCACATAGGGGGAGGGGCTTGTGAGGCCTCTATGTGGTAGCAATAAAAGTAGCTAATAGGAAGCTAAGAAAGGAAAAAAAGGTTTAAAAACAAGTTAAATAAAATAAATGAAACCGCCAAATCCATAGAGGTACCTACTCTGCCTAATTCCTGGTGTTGTGTCAAGATACCACACTGGCAATAGCAGGGAGGGTGGATTCAGCACAAAATGCACCCTCCTGCTGCAAGACCAGCGGTGCCTACAGGAACTGCCGGCTTCCGTAAAGGCAGGGGAAGGACCCCGGCGCTGCATAAGGCTGCCCTGTAAAATGCCTGTGTGGTGCAGACAGGTGTTTAGGGCAGCCTTACGTGACTCCGGGGGCCTTCTCTGCATGAGTAAAAGCTGACGAGTCCCGCAGTGGGTAAGGGTGCCAGCTCAGGCTAAACAGATTTCCATTGGTGCCTACAGGTGCCCCGAAATGGAATTCCGGCCCCCGGGTATCATTTCACTCAGCACAACCTCATCTTTTATATTTTACCAAGAATTTGGGTATAATATTGTGTTTACATGCACTAAAATTAACTTAAAGGAGACTTTTCAGGACTTTTCCCCATAGGGTCCCCCCTAAGGGTCACGGGAGGACACAAACTAGCGTCCTCCCGTCACCCTAAGCTCAGTATACCGAGACCGCCGCAGCCGGGACAGATCCTGACATTGCTGTCGAGATCCACCCAGCTGCGTGAGTGACAGCTGGCTCTGCCTATGATAGTTCTCCTTTAAGTTACCCAAAATTTGATGAACCGCGCCAATATCACGTGACAACAACTTGCCGCTGCCACCATTTTATTCTTCAGGGTCCTGGATTTCAGAAAATATGTAATTCTTGGGGTGGGGGAGTTCAAATAATCTTCAAGCCTAAAATGTGCGTTTTAATGTGCGTGCGTCTCCGACAGCGAAAGGGTAAAAAAAAAACCAACACGCAAGAGAAATGGCGCCAGAGTTTCTGGCAGAGCCGAGGCAGCAGAGACGACGCAGAAGTTCTCGGAGCCGTACGACTTTCCTCCTCTTTTTTTTTTGTGTGTCTCATTTTAAAACTGCATTATCTG